ATACACATTCATTACAGTGAAGATACACTGTCATTAACTCCCTTGAAAATACCTCCTGCTCACTTAGCCCATAGTTCTTGCCACTTTCTGAAGTAATTCTGGAAGTCCTCTTTTGTGTCTTTATGAGATGTGATCAAAATTATGAATGCTGCTGCTGAGTGCCATCTAACAGAAAGGTGGGCTTGTAAAAAACATGATGGTGCATCCTGATCGCCTTATTCACCAGATCTGGCACTCTGTAATTTCTGGCTCTTTCTCAAATCAAAATGACTGTGAAAGGGAAACATTTTGAATTGCCTCAGAACATTGAAGCAGCTATGACAGCACAACTAAAAAGACTCATAAAAGAAGACTTCCAGAACTGCTTTAGAAAATGCCCAAGATGGCCAGATGTGGTGGCGCACACTTGTAATCCCAGCACTCAGGAGGCTGAGGCAGGAGGATCGCTCTGAGTTTGAGGCCTGCCTGGGTTACAAAATGAGTTCAAGGCCAGTCAGAACTGCACAGTGAAATGCTGTCTCAAAAAGGAAAAAAAAAAAACAAAAGTGGCAAGAATGATGAGATAAGGGTGTTCAACTAGAGTGGAGTATCTTAAAGGGGATTACTTAATGGCAATATGTCTTCTACTATAATAGTTTTTAAAAATTTAAACATTCACCATATATTTCCATTACATCTTATATATGAATATGGTAAGAAGTTTCATGAAAGAAGTTTTTTTTAAAAAAGGTGAAAGAACAAGTTCCAAAATCTGAAATAGCATTTTTCTTGTGTGTGACAGGCTCTTGCTATGTAGTTCAGGCTGGCCTTGAACTCACTGTATAGCCCAAGATGGTCTAGCGCTCTCGGTGATGATCCTTTTGCCTCAGCCTCCCAAGTGCTGGGACTACAGGAATGTGTCACTTCACCCAGCTCAAAGATGATTGATTTTTTTTTTTTTTTTTTTTTTTGAGACAAAGTGTTGCTATGTAGTTCAGGCTGACTTTAAACTCACTGTGTAGCCAAGGCTGACCTCAAAATCACATCAATCCTCCTGCCTCAGTTTCCCACGTCCTGGGACTACAGGCATATACCACATTCCCAGCAAGAGAAGATTTCTTTTTTTGTGAGAGGTCTCGCTATATAATGCAGGCTGGTCTTGAACTCACTATGTAGCCCATGCTGGCATCACATTCTCAGTGATCCCCCTACCTCAGCCTCCCAAGTGCTGGGATTACAGGTATGTACTGTTACACCTGGCAAGAGATGATTTCTGAAACTCAAAGATTTAATCTAGTACAGTGGCTGTGGTTTCACCCAATATATGATAATCTTCCCAAGTATTTGTTGCAGTCAGTTTACAGTGTTACTTGGAAAAACCCCATTAATATAGATGATTATAATTTGCTAATGATATGCTCTTAAAAGATGCTATACCTTCTTTATATAAAAGGGACTATATATAGTATTTCTATGCCTGAGTAGGTTTTACCTCTGACTGGAGCTAAGTAGCTAAACTGTCCCATAACTCATGTTTTATATCTTCCACTTGTCTCTTGTTATGTTCATGTATAGAGTATATTTTAATGGCTATTTTAATATTTTTCTGCGTTTTATCATTATATTATTGTTTTTATTGACTGATTTTTCTTCTTGTTATTGGCCATATACACATTCCTGTATACCTGGTAAGTTTTTGCTGGATTTTGGACTTTGTGAATTTTATGTTGTTGTTTGCTGGATTTTGTTTTATACTTTAAAACATTTTTGAACTTTGTTGTGGGATGGATTAAAGTTACTTGGAATTGACCTGGGTGTGTTGGTGCACACCTATAATCCCAGCATTTGGGAGGCTGAGGCAGGACAATCCCATGAGTTCAAGGCTATATAGTAAATTTAAGGCCAGCCTAAACTACATAGCAAGACCCTATCTCAAAAAAGAAAAAGTTACTTGGGGTTGGGTTTGCTCCTTGCTTTTTTACATTGTTAGGCAGGTTCAGATCAGCCTTCAATCTAGGGCTGGGGATGTAGCTCAGTGTCACAAGCACCTGCTTAGCAAGTGCAAGGTCCTGAGTTCAGTTCCTATTATCAAACAAACAAACAAGCCTTCAATCTAATGCTAATGTGGCCTACTATTTTTTTGTTGTTGTCGTTTTGTTTTTTTTGGTGTTTTGAGACAGGGTCTCACTATGTAATTCAGGCTTGCCTTGAATTCACTTATGCAGCCCGGGCTGGCCTCCAACTCAGGGTGAGCATCGTGCCTTAGCCTCCTGAGTGCTGGGATTACAGCCGTGCAGCCCCACACATGGCTGGCCTACTGTCAAGATAATATTTTTCCGAGTTGACTTCTTGATGTCTTGTGTGTTAAAGGGCCAGTCTCTCTACATTGGCTGGTAGGAATGTAAGCTAGTTATTCTGTGTATTCCTTTTCCGTGATTCTTTATCATGGCTTTGGATAGTTTCCTAGTGCTTACAGATTAGTACTCAGCAAGTCTTAAAGGGGCCCTGTATCGGTTTCCTGAGCTCTCTTTATGGGCAGCTATTATTTTATTATTTTGCTCTCAAATCTTAGTGGCCTTGATTGGTATCCCAGATCTCTAAACTCAATATCTTCAAGTCAGCAAAACCACTGGGTACTACTTCAATCCCCATATGCTACACCCATACAGAAATCCTTTCCAGTCAGTGAGTTGAAATAGTCATAGGACTTCATTTCTTAGGAAGGAAGGATCCCTTTTGTATTAATATATTGGCTTTATAAATGAACACAGTTTTCCCTTGTATCTGCAGAGTAGTTCTAGAACACTGCTCTCCTAAGGATACCAAAATCTGCACATGCTTAAGACCCTTATATATAAGATGGCATATTATTTGCATGTGACCTACAAACATCTTTCCATGTACTTTGTCACCTCTAGATTACTTGTAATACCTAAAACAATGTAAATACAATGTAGAATTATTATACTGTATTGTTTAGGGAATAATGACATGAAGAAAAATGTACATGTTTGGTATAGATGGAATTGTTTTGATTATTTTCAGTGTTTGGTTGGTTGAGTCCACAGATGTAGAACTCCCAGATAGGAGGGCTGGGTATATTGGGAAAAATAATAAAAAGGAATTCTTTTTGGCAGGCCCAGTCTGTCAGCTGTCTTTGAGGTAAGACTGGCCATTCTTTGCCTGCATAAACACAGCAGCATGAACTTAATCATTCCTTGGTGAAGATTGAAGATTTTTTCTTTTTAAGACAGTGTCTCACTATGTAGTTCAGGCTGGCCTTCAACTTATTATGTAGTACCGGCTGACCTCAAATTTGTGGCGATCCTCCTATCTCAGCCTCCCAAGTGCTGAAATTATAGGCATATGCCACCATACCTAGTAAGGGCAATTTGCTAGCAATATATTTTAAAGACCCCTGTGGTGATAATAAAACTACTTTTGGTAATCTGTGTGCTTCTTGTTAAGGTGGAAAAATACTCACTTAGGCTGGGCATAGTGGCATACAACTATAATCATAGCACTCAGAAGGCTAACACAGGAAGGTCAAGAATTCAGGAGTAGCCTAGGCTACTTAAGTTCAAGACCAGCCTTGACTACTTAGCAACACCTTGTAAGAAAATACCAAACATAAAAATATTCATATGCCTTCTTTTTATTTTGCAGTGCTGTGGAATGAACTCATACATGCTAGGCAGGAGCTCCACCACTGAACAATATACCCAGGCCCTTTTTTATTTTGACACGGTCTCACTAAGTTGCCCAAGCTGGCCTTGAACTTGTAACCCTCCTATCTCAGCCCCCTGAGTAGCTGTGATGACAAGCCTGTGCCACCTCACCCATCTGCCTTCTTTCTTTCTGGATAAATATGAATCCTATATGCATTCCAGTTTTGAGTGCTTACTTGTCACTTGAGAGAGTTTAAATAATGAAAAGCTCCTAAAATCTAAGTTAGAATAAATGGAAAACTACACCTCTAGACAATGTCTACCAAGATTGCCCTTAATTCCTATTACCGGACCATGACTTAGTTATAGCCATTCTCTGCTTCTTGCCCTTGCATGTTCATGAGGAACTGGATCTTTTGAAAGTCAGGAGAACCTGCCGGCTCCTAAATTTGTATATTTATCAGGTCAGGGTTATAAGATAATTCCTTTCCAATTTCTTGCTCTTCTGTGTAACTACCTTAGCTTGTTCTTTCTTAGCATTACTTGAAGATGCCATGTGTTGCTTTGTTTTGTTTTTATCAACAGGAGGGAAAAACAACACTGAGATTAACGAACAGTTAAGCCTAGAGTCCCTGGAACTTGAAGAGCTTCCCTCAGAAAATAACTCCATCGCTGCACCCCGAGTCCATCACCCACAAGAGTCCTCTGAGGATAGAGTTGGAATTCCTGAGATGAATATATCAGGGGGAACTTCCATTTACAAGAAAAAGTTAAGAAGCCTTTTAATTACTGTTGAAAACCATACTCCATTAGTAGAACTGTCTCAGTGTTTAGGAGTCAAAGCACTTTCTGACATTCTTGAATTTCCCCCGGAAGAAGCCAAAAATGAGTACAAGTGTCCTGAATGTGACCAATGCTTCAGTGATAATTTATATCTTGTTTTGCATCAGAAAATTCATTCAAGAGAGAAAAAGTATAAATGTGGTGACTGTGGGAAGAGCTTCAATTATAAAGCCAACCTGAGTACACACAAGAGAATCCACACTGGTGAGAAGCCTTATAAGTGTACCAAGTGTGAGGCCACCTTCCGCCAGCAGTCCCATCTGTCCCGGCACATGAACAGCCATGTAAAAGAGAAACCCTATATGTGTGATATATGTAAGAAAAGTTTTACGTGGCTCCCAGGATTAGCACAGCATAAGAAAAGCCATGCTGTTGGAAAAGCATGTGAACATGCTAACCATGGTAAATATTTTCATCAGAAAACAAATCTGGCTTTGCCTGAGAATACTTACCCACCAGCAACCCAATACCAGCACAGTGAGTGTGCGAAGAGCTTCCAACAGCCTTCATACTCTGCTCTCCCTGAGAAAAGCCACAAGGAAGATTCTGAACAGCACAGTATTGATGATGAAAACTTTTTTTCATTCTCCAGATTCAAACCCTTACAGTGTCCTGAGTGTGACATGAAATTTCCTTGTTTCTCCGAGCTTGTTTCTCATCAGAACATTCACATAGAAGAAAAGCCCTATAAATGTGAAACGTGTGCACAGAGTTTTGCTTTGGATTCAGAACTTGCATGCCACCGGAAGAGCCACAAGCAAGAGGAACCTTTTAAATGTTCTGTTTGTGGGAAGAGTTTTAAAGTGAATATGCATTTCGTTACTCATAAGCGAACCCACAGGAAAAAAGCGCTGTAAATATAGTTAAGTTTTCTTAATGCTTGGGCGTCGCAGTATCTGTATGATAGGAAGCTGTTGATGTGCCAAGCACAGTGCTAAGCACTTTACACACATTCCATGTAATAGTTACTTCTCATCATAGCCCTGATGTAGGCAGTGTTATTTCTAGGTTACAGCTGAGGAAGCATAAGCAAGGTCACGTAGCAGTGGTGAAGTGAGGATTCAAAGTCAGTTACTCATCAAATTCCATTTGAACACATCAGAGAAACACCTAGAACTTTCTGTTTTTTGTTTTGGTGGCGCTGGCTTTGCACAAATGCTCTTATTACTTGAGCTATACCCTCAGCCCCCAGAACTTTTTTTTTCCAGAACTTTTTTTAAAAGTTCAATTTTCATTAAAATAAAGGTTATTGCTAGAGTTCTTTTAATTTTATGTGCTAAGTAAGTTTTAGAATTTTTTGCCAGTTCTGCACATATAAATGAATGTTTTTATACCTGTTTTTACTTTTCTGTTATAACTGTTTGAATGTGATACTGTATTTGTATGAGGTTATTGTTTTGCATGTTAATTTCCAGGTGTTTCTTAACTATACCTCTTTCTGGTGGACTTGACTTGAAGCGGGGGAGTACCTGCTCCTTTCTATGGGATTTGCCTTCAGATCTCTACTGAAGCACATTACTTGACTTGAGACTAAATCTGTGACAGAAAGGACTTTCTTTCACAGATGAAGAAACTGAAGCCCTTAGAGAAAAAAGTCAGTACTTTGCCAAGCACACAAAACACCACACTGTGGTGAAGCTAGCATTTATTTTTTATTTTATTTTATTTTACTTTATTTATTATTTATTTATGTATGTATGTATTTATTTATTTTTGCTTTTTTGAGACAGGGTCTTGCTATGCAGTTTAGGCCAGCCTTGAGCTCACTTTGTAGCCCAGGCTGGCCTGGAACTTGCAATGATCCTCCTGCCTCAGCCTCCTGAGGGCTGGGTTACAGATGTGTGCCATCACATCGGGCAAAGCTAGCTAGCATTTAAACTTAGGTGTCTTCTAATTCCAAAGGCTACAAATTCTGTAGCACTGCATCATTACTTGGTGGCAGTCATACATATTTTTTTTAATGTTGGCAAAGTTTCATATTTATTAAAGGCAGGAAAAACAGAAGGGTTAGGGAAAAATGAGCTTTATGGAACAAATATGGGCTAAATAAAAAGGAAAAAAAAATACACCCTACATTGTAGGGTGGGCTGTTGTGAAGAGGCATAGTCTACACTAGGTAAGTACTGGAGCAAAATATTGTTAAATAGTACGAAACTGTATACTATCAGAAGACAGTATTTGTATGGTCTCTTGATTGGGATGGTAAGAATGGTCTCATTCTATTTAAATAGGTATTAAAAAGGTACATTATTTACTAAGTACAGTTATTGCTGGGAGATCTTGAGCAAAACTGAAGGTTTCTGGAGGACCAGTTGGATTGAAAGTAATTGCTGAAAGGTGGGCCTTCTACAAAACAGTAGATTGAGGATGGAATGTTTAAAAAGAAGCTGGCTACTGAAGCTAAGCTCTTAACACTTTCTAGAGGCATGAAGACAACTGTTGGTGAGTGAGAAAAACTAAAACCACCAGCCTAATCCTGCTTGCTCACTTTTCCTTCCCTTTTGTCATTCTTGTCTTGGTTTTAATTTGCAGATCCAAAGTTGAGACCGTGGTATATTGGGGCAGACTTGGTTTTTTGTTTCTGTCTCTACTCTGGATATTGGGTACCAGAGAGGTCTTAAATTTAAGGTCTTAAATTTAAAACAGGTTTTCTTATCTCTCTGTCTGAGATGCTTTGAATTGTATAGAAACTTGAATTATATCCAGGTAAACATTTTAGGTATAAGTGCACAATAAAGCAACAATTAAAAACATGTCTAGGTCATAGTAACTGACAGGGTTGTTTTTCCTTCTCATTTTTTTCTGCATACCAATCATCAACATAGTATCAAAAGCCACCTAAATTACTCTTGTGTAGACATTTAAATGTTTTTGTAAAAGTGCCATTTTTAAAATCTCTTACGGTTTGCGGTAATCCTTCACAATCTGGAGAATAAAAACTGCAAAAACAGGTAAATTGTACAGCAGTCTTCATCTGGTAAGATACATTTTTTTCTTTTTCGGGGGCTGGGGATTTAGCTCAGCGGCAAAAGCGCCTGCCTGGCAAGCGCAAGGTCGTGAGTTCGGTTCCCAGTACCCGAGAAAAACATTTTTTTCTTTTTCTTTTTTTCTTGGAGGTGGGGACAGGGTCTCACTATGTCTTTCAGATTGGCTATGAACTCACTGTATAGCCCAGGATGGCTTCAAACTTGTGATGATCTACTGCCTCAGCCTCCCTAGTGCTGTGGTTATAGGCATGTGCCACCACGCCTGGCTTGGTAAGGTGCATTTCCATAGTGAGGTACAGTAAGATTTGTGACATGAGTGTTTACTTTCCCCCTATACTTTCTTAGATGCAAAGGAAAAGATGGCAGCTGCCATCTTTTATATGAGCCCCATTCTGTCCAAGTGCCTTCGAACATATTCCTCTCTGCTTCTTTCTGCAGAAACTCTGCTAGGGGGGACTTCTATCTCAATTTCATTCCCCACTCTGCATTTCTTTAGTCCTCTTAAATGTGCTGATGAGGTACTAGGTCAGTTTCTCTCATTGAGGGCAGAAACGAGAGAGGAAGGTGGTCTTGTTAATATTTAACAAAGATCATTATATTCCAGAGTCAGCTAAAAAAAACCTAACTGGAGACAGACATATTTTTAATTGTTGCTTTATTGTGCGCTTGTACCTTAAAACTTTAGATACAATTCAAGTTGCTTTGCTACAGGGAGTTGAAGGAAGGAAGAGGTATGTCTACAGTGATATTTAAGCGGGTTTTTTGATGATGGCTTTTTCATCCTTCTATATATCTTGTTAACTGATACAGGCAAATTCCATAAGATTTTTAACTCCAGAGAAATGAACCTATTGTGTTAGGTGCTATTAACAAATATACTGGATAGACGTTAATACAGAGATGAAAAACTAAATGCAAGAATTTACTTCTGTGAATGGCTAGTGTACTACATTTTTCAGGATGAATGTTGACATAGCAGAAGATACACTGTACTGAAGAAACTAACTCTTAAATTTCTTGACTTGTGTTGATGTAGTGAGGAAAATGTACATCCAATGGTTCCTTTCAGTTATGGCTGGGACATCAGGTATTGTTAAACAGTCATCACTGCTGAAAACAGCATTTTCCCAGTGGAATTCAGATGCTAACGGCTCATAATTTCATAATTTAAGAAGTTGTGAAATTTTTTGGTTTTTTTGACACAGGGTATGTGGTCCAGGCTGGCCTTGAATTCACTATGTAGCCCAAGCTGGCCTCAAATTTATGCTCCCCTTCCTCCTCAGCCTCCAGAGTGCTGGGATTACAGGCATAAGCTACCAAATCCCTATAAATTGTGAAATTTTGTTGTTCTTAAAGGAGTTGGGTGCAAAATTGTAGTTGTTATATGCAATAGTCTATTCATATCTCCCTGTATTAACACTTTAAATGATTAACCCCATAATTCAGGGAGTTAAAACTAAAACCAGGTGGGGCACGGTCAAACAAGTTTGTAATCCCAGCACTCAGGAGACCGAAGCACGAGGATTGCTGCATGTTCAAAGCCAGCCTGGGCTACAAAGAGTTCACGACGAGCCCAGACTGCATAGTTGAAACCCTATCTCAGACAAAACCTCACCTAAAGCCAAATGACATTTCTCAGTAAATGTCATTTTCTAGTCTTCTGCTTCTGAAATTCTGTATAATCTACAGCATAAATTATACAGCCAACTGCAGATTTTTCTTAAATTGCATTTCACTGCATATGTGTTAAAGTGGGAGCAAGTTATAGTTTATATGAATAAAGAGTCTTTTGAATGTTCATTAAACGTGTTATCCCTGTGGGATCTCACTAAGAAAGTATGTTTGGTTTAACCATCAGTTTAAAAGTAAATGATGTTTGTTAAAAATGTACATATTCATCTATTTTAATGTTATACATTATGAGAGCTATTTAATCTGATATAAGGATGACCATTACCCATCTTTCCAAGGCTTATCTGACAATGGGTGTTTTGTCTTTTAAAACAGAGATCCCTCCCTGCATGAACAATCTAGGGAGAAGTGGATACAACATAAATATTCATTTATATAAGCCTACATTATGCTGTAATCTCTAGTTCCTCTGGATACCTCAGAAGTATGTTGTTATATGCATTTCTATTCTTTGTTTAATGTTTCAATTTTACTATTTTGGTGCATTTTCATTGGTCCCAGCTCTGGATTTCAGTCTAAACAGTGATTATGTCTATTTGATGTGAACTTTTTCATCTAATAAATGCTATTTTATGATAATGGCTAAGTGAGCTTTAAATACACATACACAGAATTTTTTGATGGACTGTGGTTTGGACAGAGTAAATGATTTTTTTTTTTTTTTTTTTTTTTTTTTTTTTGAGATAGAGTCTTGCTATGCAGTCTAGGCTGGCCTTGAGCTCACTTTGTAGCCCAGGCCGTTCTCAAACTTGCAATGATCCTCCTGCCTCAGCCTCCAGAGTGCTGGGATTACGCCACCATGCTTGGCGTGGCACGTAAACGACGTTATGCCATTTAATAAAGGAGATAAATTGCTTGCACCCCACAATTCAGGAGGTTCCAGCGTTAGTCTGAGAAAATGGCATTAGGCATCCACCTACCTTCCAGTCTTCACAACGGCAGTATAGGACCCGGTACACCCAACTCCACGGGGCAGCGATCGTCTAGTGTAGGAAGCTTCCTAACTCATGGATTCAGTGTGTGTTAAGTAGTTCTCTCACTGGGCTTCTCACGATATTGGAGAGATCCAGTGTTTCCAGCTTGGCCGCTAGCATGGGAATACCAAAGCCGCTCAATGTGCCACGGCAGCTACTGGCAGGAAACCGGAAGTCACGGTCACTTCCGGTGCCCGCTTTGGCAGCGCCTGCGCACTCTTAGC